GCCTCTTCAGACCCAACTATTTGGCCTTTGGGATCCATGATATAGATATCCCTATTTCCTTTTAATTAATTGACTTTTAAAATTATTAAGCTGGCTTTCAAGGGTTTCCATGATTTGCAACCAAGAAACCTCAATAGAGAGGAAAATAGGATAGTTGTACTCAATAGTGCCCCCAACCTTTTTTGGCACTAGGCTCCAGTTTCATGGAAGACCATTTTTCCACAGATGGGGGTGGGGTGGGGGCAGGAGGCAGAGCTCCGGCTTCGTGGAAATAAGCTTGGCTTGACCACTGCTTGCTTCCAGCTGTGCGGGCCTGGGTTCCTAAGTTTCATGGAAGTTTTTTTCCAGGAAAGGGGGTTCAGGTGGCCCCCAGATTTGCAGCCCAGTCCCTAACAGACCATGGACCAGGACTGGGTTTGGGGACCTCAGTACAGGATATCATTTTGCAAGGTATATTCTGTAAATGTTTTGTTTTAAAGTTGACTGGAATGTAGTGTCAGGTAAGAAGTGTTACATAAACACTGGGTTCTGTTATGGTCGGAGTGCGAGAAAAGACCACCTTAGAAACTGAATTGGATCAAATTTTGAGTCTTTATTGGCCAGGACTACTTCTGCCCTGCAGAGTGGCAGGCATAGAAAGTAGTGATGAGCTAGGAAAAAACGGCCCCTTTTAAAGGCAAGAACTGTATTTTTAAAAAATTATCTAATTGCTCAAGCACAGTCATAGAAGCTAAAGTCTAGCCAAGATACATTCTTATCTTGTTTTAGCAGGATTGGGGAGGGGTTGGGAACTTTTCATAGCCTTGAGGTGGGTTTTGTAGGAGTCACTAGCCACAGCTAAAATTTTAACTCTGAAGCAGTATGATTACAATGGGCGCCTTAGTATTTCAGGGCATTTTGACTCTGGGCTAGCTATTATTTCATCTTGTGGACAGCTGTGTGTAAGGCACGACCCCCCCCCTTATTTTCTAAGCTTAAGCATTCTAGCAGAAATGAGATGGCAGGCTCAGAGTAGGCTGAAAGTTTTCCACTCCCCTAAGCAAGCAAGCACAATACAGAAGCTAATGGCTGGTTATTGGCTGCCTATGGTCCCTAGGCCCTAACAGGTTCAAATGAATCAGAATAAAGCCAACTAGAAAAAAAAATCAGAAAGACATATATGGACTTGAGAACAAATGTTTATTACTGTTTCATGGGGCCAAAGGGGCAACACAAAGCATTGAAAACATCACTGGCTCACAAAAACAGTCACCTTGTTACATTCTTGGTTACATTTGTTTATTTCACAAGGCTTCATTCACACATGAAAACAAGATACTAATCCAGTTCAAATTCATAACGATTATAAAAGTAAACATTTGTTGGGACAATGTACAATAAATTGCACTTTTTTAACAAGCAATACATTTACATTTATAGAGTATACTATACATAATACATGGAGTTATGGAAACATCTGATTGGTCAGAGTAATTGAGGAAGAGGTTGATCACTACATTTTTTTTTTGTAGTCAATTAGCACTGTTTAGACTAATCAAGTACTTTATTCTAGAACCTGTTTTCATTAGAGATGTAATGAGCAAAATCATAGAATTCATAAAAATAGTACAGAATTTCTACTACTTCCTCGGCAAGGAAAAGGTAGGAGTTGGAAAGAAAGGAAATGGGGCTGACTGAGAAACTTTTTCCCTCATTTGAACTAAGGATCCATGCATTATGCAAAGTACCAAAAATAGAGAAACTGATGCAAAAGGCTATTGGGACATCTTGGATTCTGGGACCATCTCCAGCTTTATTCTTGTGCTTTCATGACACCAGAGTCTTTTGATGCATTTATATTCTCACAAATCAGGTTTTATATTTTATTCCATATGTAATATATAGTTATTAAAAGTTACAATGTAATGGAAAAGATTTTACAAGTTAACTAATTGCCAATGAAAAAGGAAAGTAACTTAAAATGTTATTTTTCTACTAAATGATTCTTTTAGATTAAGCTTTTCAGAATATCGCTAATGATAAACCAGAGATGGGGGTAGGGAGAATGGGATACATTGTTGAAGATGTTTTTATAGCAGGTAGCAAATTCATTTGGAGATGAGCTTGACATGTAGTCTTTTAGATGGGAACTGAGAGAGGAATGTCAGACAGCTGACTAGTCACTAAAAGCTCGTAAACATCCACTTTTCTCATTACGACTCAAGATCAGCATCTCATATTGAGGTGCAGCCCACATTGAAGTCCTCATTTGGGTACATTTTGAAAGATAAGGAAGTTGCTAAGGTAAAGGGTCTTGCCTGTATTATATAGAAGCCACTGTGGGAGAGGAAGAATGTTTTGGGACAATTCTACCTCAATGTGACCATCACCATGTTTTCCAGAAAGAATTGTATTATGTATCTGGTGGTAGGAAACACAGACCACAGAGCTGTTGTCTGGCCTTCCAGCTTTGATCACCATGTCTTGAAATCTCAATGTATATTTGGTTGCATGGTACCTGGGTAAACAAAAGAGGCAGGGATACTCTATATAAAATTCCACCAAGCACGCACGCACGCACGCACACACACACACACACACACACACACACACACACCCCAACAGTGTTCAAATCATACAACCAAATTTGTTCATTCTCTCATTTACTTGTAATTAAAGCAAGAGACTCAGAGCTATTTTAAGAGTGTTGTTAAGGGCAAGTTATACAATAGAATCATCTTGCTAAGTAATTTAAAAGTGTTCAGCCTGGCCTGTAATCCTAGCCCTCTGGGAGGCCAAGGCGGGAGGACTGCTTGAGCTCAGGAGTTCAAGATCAGCTTGAGCAAGAGCGAGACCACATCTATACTAAAAATAGAAAAAATTAGCTTGTAGTCCTAGCTATTCAGGAGGCTGAGGCAGGAGGATCACTTGAGCCCAGGAGTTTGAGACTGCAGTGAGCTAGGCTGACACCATGGCACTCTAGCCCAGGTGACAGAGTGAGACACTGCCTCAAAAAAGAAAGTGTTATTTCCCAGAAGATAAAACAAACAAGGTATTTAATTTTTTTTTTTTTTTTTTCTGAGACAGAGGCTCTTTGTCGCCTGGGCTAGAATGAATGCTGTGGTATCAGCTTAGCTCACAGCAACTTCAAACTCCAAGGCTCAAGTGATCCTCCTGCCTCAGTCTCCCCAGTAGCTGGGACTACAGGCCTGAGCTACCATGCACGGCTAAGCTTTTTGTTTGTTTGTTTTCTATTTTTAGTTGACTAATTTTTTTTTCTATTTTTAGTAGAGATAGGGTCTCTCTTTTGCTCAGGCTGGTCTGGAACTCCTGAGCTCAAGCAATCGTCCCACCTTGGCCTCCCAGAGTGCTAGTATTACAGGTGTGAGCCATCACGCCTGACCAAGGTATTTAATTTTTAAAAAGTTCTTTTTTTCCCCCTTAAAGGCCCATAAAAATCAGACAAACACATTAGTATCTGATGCACAGGGTTGGTGGAATAGTTAGTAGTAGACTGATTTCAGCTGAAGGAAAAGAAGCTCAATCCCTTACATTAGTTACATGTAATTCTCATCCTAGGTAACTAACTCTTTTAAAGGTCTCTTTATTTCCTCTGCCCAAATCTCTGTATTCTCTGAGATTTCTCACTTCAGCTAGGAAATGAAGACACTAGTTATTAAATGAAAAATATTTTAAGAAAATAGAGTAGGGGTTGGAGAAAAATACATACTAATATATAGCAGAAAAAGATTGGAAAAAAATTTTTTAAATGAAACAAGATAAATACTATTAAATATCCTAACATCAGTGCAAAGGTTGCTTTTATACTTTACCAGGGAAATTTAAGAAAGCCAATGAAGTAGAAATTACTAATTCAATAGCTGGGAGGGGAGAAGAGAGATATTGGTTGTATGGAAAGACATGGCGTTCCTATTAGTGTTTCCGATGGGCACTCATACACAGAACATTAGGTAACAATTTATTTTCATTAAATTATATGCAACTAAATATAACCAAATTGTGACATGGCGCAGGATGTGGGAAGCTAGCAAACACATGCACTGCAAAATTCAGCTTGGTTTCTTTCAGCTTTAAAGAACGTGTTAAACAAGATTCTCAAGATATAAAAGCTAATGAACTGAATTGTCAAGTTGAATTTCATTCACTTAATTTATTCTATAGACTTTAAGGAAAAGATAAATGATCACTTTTCAGATATAGCAAATATTGGATTTTTAGAGATATATTTTATACAGACTACATTCTAGGAACAGATGAAAAACAGTAGAATGTTTGAAAATTTCCTGGATATTTGGCTGGTTGATCTCTAAATGAAATTCAAGAGAAGAGTTATAATTCTCAAATATATCTTAAAATAAGTGAATGTAAAACTAGTAGAGATGCATGCATCTTCAAACAATAGACAGTAAATGACACATTGTTTGGAATATTGGTGTTACAACATATTGTATGAACAATCATATCACATACTAAATTTTGAATTTTCTTTCTTTTCACTCTTTCACTATTGATACTAACTAAAGGCATTGCAGTGAGGGACAGTTTAGATTTATGGTACCAAAGACATACCGAAGTATGATATGAGACTGGAGAAGAAAAAAAAAATCTATGTTTTACCCTCATAATCTTTTGAAAGAGTTAAAAGAAAACCCAAAGACAACTCTGGGAGGCTGAGGTGGGCAGATCGCTCAAGGTCAGGAGTTTGAAACCAGCCTGAGCGAGACCCCGTCTCTACCAAAAATAGAAGTTAAAAAAAAAAAACAAAAAAACCCAAAGACAGATTTACCAAACTTCTGGAATGTATGCACCAGGTGATTTTGTTCAAAGAAAAAAAGGAAAGGGACTATGGAATTGAACCAAGTCTACAGATAAGAAATTGACCTAGAGGCATTCTATTTCTCCCTCACCTACAATTTAAGGAAAATTATACACTTTAGGCATTCTGTGGAATGTACTTATTTCTGGAAGTTAAAACAAGCTCTGTACAGAACTATGAAATTCACAAAAGAGCATCTTTAATTTAGCTTGGCCATTTGATAAGGCAACTTGTACAGAGCTTCTTAGAATCAAAGCATCAAGTACCGGTAAAGCTAACAGACTATACTAAATGATTTATAGAAACAAGTGCCAAGATAAAATTTTCTAGCCATTATATTTTACAAAAACAAAAATAGCTTATCACAACCATCATGTGGAGAATGTTAAAGTCAACCTAGACACTTGGAATTCTGGGTTATTTTTCCTTTGGTAAAAAGAAAATAAATGTTATGATGAAAGCCGTCAGAACAAAAGAAAAAGATTTCCGCAAGAAAAGTATTATTTCATGAGTGTAACAGCTACCAACCGCGTAAGTTTTATGGGTTGTAGATATCTAAACACATGGAGATGAAGGGGGTTTCACTTTTTAGAACTTAAAGATTATTTAGAGGAAAGGATCCACCATGAGCAAGTTGGTGCACCCTCCTGGGGCTGTGAAGGCTCTCGTGGGATTCTTACTTCTAAGAGTGCGTTACTTTTAATTGCAATGTATGGCACAAATGAGATTCACTCTGGCACCACAGAGTTTAAGATCCTTTGCAAACAATATGTTCAACAATGAAGCCAAGGATGAATATCAATAAATGTAATTGTACATACCTGACCATAGTTTGGTTGATGTGAAAAGATCAGAGGCCTCCAAAATAGCTTAGGAAATAGGAAAATTGCTTTTGCTCTTACCGAAGAATTTCCTGCAAGAACTATTGATCTAAGCATGTTAAATGTAATTGAAATATATTTCCACCAATTTTTAAACAGTAGCTTTTTACCTTTCTGTGAGACAAGTATTTCTATAAAGGTTTTATATTCAATCAAAATGTTACAAATGCATTTGTATCTCTTTATCTACAGGTACCAATGCCACATCTTTAGGGAGCTACAGAAATCAAGAAAAGTTGCCCAACATTAAACTAAGATTATGTGAAGCTGACTTCTATTTCCCATTTCAATAGCATGGCCTTTAACAAAGTTACAGCATATTAGTGTTTCCTTGGCAAGTACATGTCAACATTAAAGGAAATACTCTGTCTCTGGTTCTGTACTCCACGCTGAGCACAACGGCTGAAGGTAGACCTTTCTAGGCTTCTCTGGTGAAGGTCCCCTAAGTCTGCAGGTTGCAATATCCACCTCTAACTTTACACTTGCCAGAAGTCACATCTGTGTTCATATTTAGGCATACTTAGGAACATGCAAGTCCCAGATGGAGTTCTTAAAAGGATCTGTTAGAATATCAGAGCCCAAATGATTTTATCCTGCATTTATCAAAACCTCAGTTCCACTTAGTGTATATTCTTAATAGCCCATCTGCTACACAGTTCTTGGTACTTTATTCCCAGATGTACCCAACAGAAAAGGAAAATAAACCAGGTATCTTTAGGTACTGTTCAATCCCTGGTCTGTTCTTCAGACAGGATTATAGCTACCTTGGGAATCACTTTCAGGTGGAAACCCGACAGTGGTCATGACTGGCCCCACAGTGTGCTTTATCTAAATAAATCCTGAAAAATTAAGAGGTTTAGGTTTCAATTTTTGTGTGTGTGTGTGTGTGTGTGACAAAGATATTCCCATCACTTCAATCTTGGAATAAGAGATGTCTCCATTTTTATGTACGATAAAAATAATTATGAATAATTAGTTCTAAATAAAAAGCATTTAGTTTTGAATTACTTATTTCCAACGAAACATCAGGCATTTAATAATACTATGATGGATCTGAACATGGCCTTCCATGAAGAAGCTGGAAAATAGGTATTCAACATAAAGCTGGCCAGTTTAAACAACATCCCTTTGAAAAATGTCATACAAGAAACAGTGAGAGCTACTGAAGATTCTGGCTTGCTTTCTGGCCTCCTTGACTTTCCTTCAAAGGGACACCAAGAAGAATCCTCCTAGGTTTCCGCTGCTTTGATCATTGTGCTCTTGGTGCTCAGGTGAGGCTGGAGCTATGTGCTCTCCTTGGGTGGCTGGGTGGCCTGTGGTGGCTGGAGGGGCTGGGTGCCTGTGGCTGTTTTAATAGAGTTCAGGGTTTTGCTAAACCAAGAGTTTTTTGCAGCTTGGATTTCATTCATAAGAGCTCCTCTCTGATGTTCAAGTTCCTAATTAAAGAAAGAAAATCATCTGAGTTATATAAATGTTTTCTCTCTGCCAAAAAATATTAGAATACAGATTTTTGGAATCCCCGGGTCTATGTAGCCAGTTTTCCTCCCACAAAACCCAAGAAAGATTTAATGGGCTTCTTAATGCAAGGAAAAAGGTTAGAGCCAAGAGTTACCACTAAAAACTGGAATCTGTGCTTTCTCTGGACAGTGAAATGAAACCTTTATTCTTTTCTTCCCCCCTGCAATTTAAGTCCAAATTTAGGTTTAGGTTGTAACCTGAGAGAACATGTTTAAAACCACAAATACATGTAAACAAATGGAGGGACTGCGTTTTTAATGATAACATAAGCTTGAATGAGTTCCAGTTCCAAAGACAAAGACTTTGCCCCTGAGAACGCACAAGGTCCAGAGCAGATACAGGGCGGAGGATCGTGGGTGCGATGGAGGTTGGTGCCATGGCGGGACACGGCCATGGGCCAGGATCACTGGTGAAAACGAAATGGAGGAGAGTCCATCACAAGCCAAGACATTTTTCTAATTGCGTTATCCTCCAGCATGGAGAGAGATAATGGGGAAAGGCATTTGGCAAAATCAGCAAAAGATAAAAAGAAGCTCCAAAGTAAAGAACGGGGGTCAGCCAATGTTCAACTGTCAGGGTGGGGACAGGGTTTGGCTTTTCATTTTCAGGATTACCAAAGTGAACAAATTCAATGAGAATGGACTCCAGTGAAAAACCTCACGGTAAATGAAAAAAGATTATGCCTAAGTTTTCACAATATATAATTTTAATTATTAAAATTTCATTTAAAATTATGTATTTGTTTATATCAGTGTTGAAAATACATGATGGAAAAAGTGATTATGCAGGCACATTAGTGGATAGATAATGTATTCATCATGCATCTTATGATTCTCACCTACATAGTTATATTCCAAACTACTAGAGTCCATCCTAGACCACTGTTTATTTTTCTTGATGTTCTCTTAGCAAATCACCAACCTGGATTTTACACTTGGCTTCCACCAGCTGCAGTTTGGTTTGTGCCAGTTCCAGCTCCATCTCCCTCAGCTGCTTCTTAAGCGAGTCCTTCTCATCGTCCGTTTCAATTCCCTGGTCCTCTCTGCTTATGGCTGCTAGTTTCACAGTGCCCTCCTTGCTGAAAATGTCACTGCAGTGTTTGCATGCCATCATTTTACCCTAAAATGTCCAAAAGAGATAACCAACATCAAACTGTGGTTCATAAGCTAAATAACTTCCTGAAACAATATATGCTTTCTTTTTAAGATACTGCTTATTGTCATAAAATAATTATTTTTCTTGTGTTGTAATCAAAATGGTTACAGACAGCCTAAAACCCAACTAGCTAAGACAGGTGCTCCTTTTCCCTTAAGGTATCTATAGAAGTACCCTAGGAATAGGAAGTATTATGGCATCCCATTGAAATTTGCTCTAGAAATTTTGTGCTATCATTACTCTCACTAGATGCTGAGCCCTGTGCCATATGCTTTACTTGCTGTATTTCATTTAATCCTAGAGCAACTGCATAAGTAAGCACTATTATCATCCCCAGTTTATAAATGAAGAAACTCAGAGATTAAGGAACTTGACTATGGTAGACTAAGGAAGGTCATCATAACTTACCTAAATCTACCCTTGCAACAAAGTTCATGTCCTGTTGTTCAGTTTTAAGCAATGATGATCATTACTGATTAATAAAAGCAACTCTACCACATGCTGAGATTGCCAATCAAGCACACAGCACTGAACAATAGCAACTCTTGCTATTGTAGCAACAATAGCAACTCAAAGACAATAGTGTTGTTTTCTTAATATCTTCAAAAGTAATTTGCTAGAGATAAAAGATATTACACACAATTTCTATTTTGCTGTCCTACTGTTACGAGCTCAGTGTGTCCATAACCATAACCATATGCTCTCTTCACATGCATCTAGAGCAGCTCTCCACCACGCTTTGTGTCACTGTGCATGTCTCCACCATCTAGGTCTGAAGACCTTGGTGTCATCTTCTCATTAGCTCCTCCTTCATCCCATGTCCAGCTGATCATTAACTTCTTCCTCTGACATGTCCAAACTCTTCCCATGTCGGCCTGAATCCCTAAGAGTCACCTCAGTCCACATCGGCTTCTTTCTTATCCCATCCATGATCCACTCTTCATATTTCTGCTGGATTCATATTCATTAGATACTTTAGAAATATCTTGTCACTCTCTTACTTAAGAACTTATGTGAATAACTACCCCCGTATAGGCACACTGTAAACGTTTGTTCAATATTTATTGTTGACTAAATAAAATATTAAGTAGCTTAAATAATCAAAAGTTGACCAAGGGGGGTGGGCAATTTTATTAGGTGGAACCCTGTGAAGGAATAGATTGATCTCACGGGAGGGGTGACATTTCAGCAGAGAACGAGACTGTATGCCAGACCTGACACCACTTCAGAGAATGTCAAGGAATTAAAATGGCTCAAGCAGAAAGTAAGTGATGAACAGTGAGAGGAGGTAATTAGTGAGGTGAGAGTTCTCTGTGTCCAGGTCATCAACATCCTTAAATACCATGCTACTAAATCCTGTAGGATTTTATCCTACAGAAGATTTATTCTTTCACTCCACCAAGCCTTGTGCTGCGTGTCGACAGAACCATGAGCTGCGTGGAGCTGGCTGCGGTCCGGCCTCTGTGCTGACACGTGTGGAAACGGCTGCTCCCGCCCAACACCCGCCTCTCCTCCTCCCTTAGTCACAGAACCCTGATTTCACTAGAGCTGGCAATGTGCCTAGGTAAAAAGTGACATTTCCCAGATTCCCTTAAAGCTAGGTATGGTCATGAATTAAGTTCCTATATGTAAGCAGAAATGTGGTGTGGAACTTCTAAGAAGGCTGCTTAGAAAGAGCTAGAATGAGGCCCTTAAACCTTTGCATCTCCTTAGGGCCTAAAATCCTGCCATGGAGTGTGGTGTGTGTTAATGGAAACTCCCATTGAGGTTTGGTTTTTAGGTGACCTTTGAGGATGGAAGTCCATGCTGAGGACGTGAGTCACTGATGATTGATGAGCTTGGGTCACTGATGACACCAAGTATCTACCTGTCTAGTCCTAGACTGTTTTTACATGAAAAAATCAACACTTTTTGTGTTTAAACCATTTGGAGTTTCCTATATGTGCCAAATCAAATTCTAAACTGATACACAGAGTAATATCATCTAATTTATATCTAGGGATGCTCATTCTGATTAGAGAGTAGAGGATGAACTGGAGGGTGATAGTGACAGAGGAAGGTAGTTAGAGAAGACTGGAAAATCCAAAAGCTGTCACATCAAACCAAATGAGATGAAGAGCAGCAGCACTGGAGAAAGGGGAGGTAGTATACTCTCCATAATGTCCATAGGAGTATGGACATTAGAGTTGACTCCTTGGGTTCAAAGCCTGCTTCTACCAGCTGTGTAACCTTGACCAAATGAATGACCTGTTTGGGGCCTCATCATCAATAAAAAAAAAGATACAATAGTGTCTATTTTCTAGGATAGTTGTAGGGTTAAATGGAAAATATAAAGCCTTAGGACAGTGCATGTAGTAAGTGTTTAGTAAATGTTGGTTGTTGTTCTTGATTCTGGCTAAAATAAGTTTATAGTCCTCTTCCTGAACATCATGGCCTTTCAAGAGGTAGTTCTATCTATTTATCCAATATTTTCCTCTGTTCTTTAATACATATTCTAATTATATCAGTCTCCATAATGAGACTCTGAAATGCTCATTCCTGGATCTGGATCTGGGTCTTCACATACATTGTTTCTTTAAGAATGTCCTTTTAAAATCCTTCTAACTAAATTTTACCCATCCTGCTTTAGTCCAATCTCCTCCATAAAGCCTTCTTTGGTCTGTAGCTCTTGATTTTACTTTCTCTATAACTCTGATTGTCATTGTGAGCCAACTTAGCACTCTGGAACTGCTTCCTAAATGGTTCATGTACATATGTATGAAACTTGTCCTACAGGGAAATTTTAAGATCTTTTTCATGTGTAATTTCTATAACAGGATGGCAGTCTAATAGCGGTGTACACAGTAGATGCCCAATAAAACCTTTATTAAGTGATTGATATAAATCCTTATTTCATTTTTATTTCCATAAAGATTTCAGTTCAGGATAGTTAACTCTTTTATGCCAAAAGACTTTATCAGCTAAATCCTGGTCAGTGTGCCTATAATGTCCAATGAGTGATAAATGCTATCTAGAAAGAAGTACGAAGGTAGACCAGAGAGGGGAGATATAAACCTGAAATTTGAGCAGGTTCGGAGAGGACACCACCAACTATATACTCTCCAATAATTTCAGATTAATGTTTCTAGAATAAAGAAAAAACACTTTTTGAATACAAGGTCTTATATGTCAGGTACTATTCTAAACACTATATATGCATTATTTTAACCTTCAAAATAATCTCATGAGACAGGTAATGTTATCTTTGTTTTACAGAAGATAAAGCTTAGAAAGGTTAAATAAGTTTTCAAAATTAAGTTAAATTATAAGCTAAATTGCTTACAACACATTTATTTACTAGTACGAAACCCAAATATATTTGAATAGGATGATTTCCAGTTGCTGTAGCACTGGTCTCAAGGGTTGACTGTGCCAACATTTCTTCTTCAAAATGCCAATCCAGCTGGGCACAGTGGCTCATGCCTATAATCCTAGCACTCTGGGAGGCCATGGTAGGAGAGTCGCTTGAGCTCAGGAGTTTGAGACCAGCCTCAGCAAGAGCAAGACCCTGTTGCTACAAAAAATAGAAAAATTAGCTGGGCGTTGTGCCACATGCCTGTAGTTCTAGCTACTCGGGAGTCTGAGGCAGGAGGATTGCTTGAGCCTAGGAGTTTGAGGTTGCTGTGAGCTACAATGATAATGCCACTAGCCAGGGCCACAGAGCGAGACTCTGACTAAAAAAAAAAAAGAACACCAATCCATTTGGTTTACCGTTGTTTCCATAGAATAAGCAATCACTTTTTTCAAATAGAGCGTCAATATAATGAAACCACCAGGGGCAGCATATAAATAAATGCTACAGATTTTCTTTAAAATCAAACCTCTAAAAATTTGGTGGAAGAATTAGTCACTCAACATGTGTTTTTCCAGCCCAGTTCTATATTGCCACAGGATTTACTGTTACACAGAGTGATGAGATGATCCCACTGCGCCCCAAGCTGAAGCCACACCAGTTCAGGCACGGTCAGGTGGGGGCTGCTGAGGGCTCTCGGGTTCACACCAGCCAGCAAAACTACGTGGCTCATCCGAAGTTCCGTGGCTCAGGAACTCTGTGACCTTGCTCAAATCCTACCTCTTTTGCTGCTATCTGCCTCTGACAGCCCACCTGATGTATGGGGGCATAATAACCTTTCAGCTGGCAGGGAAGACGGTCACACCCGGGTCAGAAAAGAAGTATTAGTATTCCACCAAATTCCTAAGTCCTTTAGGTGATGGTGGTGGGAGTCCCTTCAGCACGCGCAAGGCCGTGCGTCTTTGGAGGAAACTGTGTCGAGAGCTGCTCCCCTCTTACCTTTACGGCTTCCAGCTCCTCCTTGCTGGCGGCTTGCTGCTTCTCCAGCCTGGTACTTAGCTGGGAACAGATCTAAGGGAAAGAGGTTTTTTTACTAGAAAACAGAACAACTCTTGCAGCATGTGTACATAATTATTTATCAACTCATACATTACTCTAGCATCTCTGATCCTAGAAGAATCTCGCAAATGAACAGCACTACCAATGCCAGTCGTTTCTGAAATGAGCAGCAGAACGCCTGAGAGTTCCCTGTGTAAAGCACAACTCTATCTTAATTAGTAGAAACATACATGGGGTAGATTTGGTTTCTTTCTGTCACTAGCCTTCCATGACTGGTTCCAGTGAATTCCTGGCCTCAGTTTGGAATCGGTCTATAGAATGAATCTTCACTGAATATCTACTTTGTACAAGGTACTATGCTGGAAATCTGATCAAAAGGGTTCTGAACTGGAAACATCTGTCTATAGCCACAGAAAGAGTGTCTGTTTTCAATCACAAACTGTTCCTTAAGAAATGACTGAGTGAATAAAACAAAGTTAAAATGACCAGAAAATAATAGACTAACATTCTTATTAAGTGGTTTGGCAATATAGCATAGAAATTAAAAGTTTGGGTACTAGAGTCAAATGTGAGTTTAATGCTAGTCCAACTTTATACTTTGGAGACTCTGTCTCTAAAAAAAAGGGAAAGATCACCCTGATAGGTTTTGCAACAAATAAATCCTTTTAAATAAACCAAAACATTCTGAAATATAGCCAACAATAGCCAATTCCAATGCTAGTCCAAGTTACTTTATAGCTTTGTGACCTTGAGCAAATTTATTAATCATTCTAAGACTCAGTTTCCTCAGTATTCATAAATACTGTACTGAAAAAAAATGTATATAAAGAGTTTAGTATAGTAACTGGCCAATAGTAAGTACTTATTAAATAAAATCCATTATTATTATTATGATTCTGAAATAAGATGCTACCAAGTATTGGAAACAGGTAGAAATAAATGCTTCAAAAGAAAAAAATATGTTTAAATAAATATTGGATGTTAAAACTGAAATAAGAATCTTTTATTTACATTTTACAAAAATGAATGAAAATCAGTTAGGGGATGTCAAATTTTTAAGTACCATTTGGGCTAAAAACATACATTGTCTACCTCTGTTATCAAAACAGACATTTTAGAAAATCCCAGCCTACTCAAAAATAGCTCTGGAGACCAGGGGTTGCTTTTCGAGGGTGGTTTCCAGTTTCTCCACATCCAAACCTCAGGAACAGTTAGTAGGACTGGACCGATGTAAGAAAGAAGAGATCAGGCCAGGCACCATGGCTCAAGCCTGTGGGGGGAGGCCAAGGCGGGAGGATCACTTGAGCTCAGGAGTTTGAGACCAGCCTGAGCAAGAGTGAGATCCCGTCTCTACTAAAAATAGAAAAAATTAGCAGGGCATGGCAGTGCACGCCTGTAGTCCCAGGTACTTGGGAGGCTGAGACAGGAGGATCACTTGAGCCCAGGAGTTTGAGATTGCAGCAAGCTATGATGACACCGCCGTACTCTCGCTGGGGTGACAGAGCAAGACTCTGTCTCCAAAAAAAAAGGAAAGATCACCCTGATAGGTTTTGCAAACAATAAATCCTTTTAAATAAACCAAAACATTCTGAAATATAGCCAACAATAGCCAATTCCAAATACAGAATACATTTAGATTATGTTTCATATCCAAATTATCTTCAAACAGATGGGTGTATTGCCTTTTACGTTGCTTGAAGTGCTTGCCAGATAATATTCAAGAATGGTCCCAAGAATTACTGTTTAAAGAGTACTGCACATGGTGGCCATCCATGGCATAACGTGGCTATGAGAAAAAAGCATTTGCAATGATGGCAAGTTCCACTGCACATGGTTTTTAATGTTCCTTGTATTGGTTAATGTCTAACCATCCCTTCTTCTAGTTATCAGATTCAAAATCTCAGGATCAGCTTCAATGTTTTCCCTTGTTTAACAACAAAAAAAATGACTATCTTTTTCTATTTTTTTTTTTTTTTCCTGAGTAGCTGGGGTTTACAGGTGCATGCCACTGTACCTGGCAAATAAATGACTATCTTCTGGGTCTCCTTCTTCCTCATTTTCATTATTACTTATTCAGGCACCTGTTTCTTCTCATGTGGACTCTGGTATTAGCCTCTTAACTGATCGATGTCCTTACCTGTGGATCTCTCCACTTGGTTCCACATTTTTCACTGGGACAGATTAGTGCCAACAATATTTCCCTGATTATGCCACTTTCATGTTCAAAAAATCCTACTATCAAAATAAAACCCAAACTCCTCAGTCCAGCCCTGAAGACCTTCCTTGATCTGATCCCCAACGTATGTTTGCTTCTTTTCTGTCCTTGAATTTCTTACTAAATAACATTTCTTTTCTGTTCACTAATCTACCTCCATGCCTTTGCACATGCTGTTCCCTCCTTCCACTGCTTCCATCCTCTCCTCAGTTTCCACATAGCCAAGTGTCACCCAGCCTTTGAGGCACAGTCCAAATCACCCTTCTCCAGGAAAGGTTTCTTCATTTCCCACACCTAATACGTTCCCTTTCCTCTATACATACGTTATCATCTCCCCATTACAAGATAAGCTTCTGGGGGAAAGAACTGAACTAATTTATCTTTCTGTCTGCCAAAACATTAAGCCTCACAGGTTAACAGGCATTAAATAGACATATGCTGATTGTCAACGAAGGGTAAGATAGCTCTGAGGTCTTAGTTCTACACAATCTTTCAGCAATATCATGACTCCTCGTAGAAGGGTGTTCATAATCTATTAAGTGAATTAAAGCTACTTCCAAAGAATAGGATGAATAATACAATCATCCTATTTATATATTTTAAAAATTTATTTATGTAGCATTAATTTATACAGCAACAATGCATACTCAACATATTACAATGATTTTCTCTAGTTATCAGGATTAAGGGAGAGTTGTTTTCTTTGTGCTTTTCTGCTGTATTCTAATTTTCCACAAGGACATAAATTTCATTTACAAGAAAGCAGTAAGTATCAGACGTCTAAGTCCTAGGTGAGGTAGAAGACTCCAGGGAAATCCTAGGGTCAGAAGATGGCATATGGTGTCTTAATTAATTCTGGAAACCTGGAACTTGAACAGTCCACTCAGGGCCTCTCAGATATGAGAGGAACCCTTGTCCTGTCCAGCCAACAGGAGGAACAGGAAGATACCACTGGAGCTGGAATGAGGGCTTTCTGAAACTACTCTGGTAATGGGGCCAGAAACATCCTCGGGAGAGTGAGCTCCCTGTTAAAAGAGCATTTTAAGGTTCACAGTAGAAAGCTTTCTGCTGGCGCTGGCCTGCAGTGGGTAAGGCCACATAGCCATGCGGGAAAAAGAAGGCCCCCACTCTGTACTGTGACAGCAAAGGACACACTGACCCCTAGCTCTTGCCATTTAATACGATCACTAAACCTTGCAAAGAGGCAAATGTTACTAGTGTGATTTACTGGAAATTAGCTTCTGAGTAAAACAGAGACAGGATCTCAATGGCAATCATAAGGTTTCCTATTCCTCTAAATCGACCAAACATTGTAAACAACCAATAGATTTGTTTTGGTCAGTTAGACCTCCCAAGTTATCAGCAAGTACGCAACAGGCAGCAAGTATCCAACCACTGTCTGTCTCAAAAGAGAGAGTGAGCCACTAACTTTAATCTGGAAAACTGTTCTGAAAACTCTAGAAACAAAAATGTTTTTTCTCCCCTAAAGATAGACAACAACAAAAAGTTACTTTTATAGCAAAAAACTGTAACTAGCACTGTGTGCCACAGTGACACCTTACCTGTTTATACTCAGCAATGATGGCCGTAGTCTTCTTGATTTCATATTCTGCCTTCTCGAGCTGTTTTCTGAAGACTTCTTTTAGCTAGAAAGAGAGAAACATTAGAATTCAGCCAAAATTAATAAATTTTCACAAACGTCTATATTTAAGACTTCCTGATTCATAGTCAATGACAATGGTAACTACAATGGTAGTTCATTCATAGTCAATGACAATGGTAAATTATCAAGATGTAGTTATCAAACTGTAGTTATCAAGATGTAATTATCAAACTACATCTTGATAATTTGAAAAACCCAACCATCTCCAGAGATGCAGAAATCTTACTTTCTTTTTGGTAAAGTATAAGATATGTGAGCAAATGTGTCATAAAATTGCTTATGTTTGCTACTGCTAAACATGTTGCTAAATAAGTATCCATTTGGATGTTATCTTTATCCTTGTAAGAGTCTAAAACAAAACTTCAAGGCAACACTGAATGCTAAATTTGTTACTCTTGATGCTATATTATAAATTACAAAAAAAGGCGTTTTAGGCCTTCCTGTTCATAGTCCTCCACTGTTACTGCTGGTACCTCTCTGATGGTAGGAACAAGAGGCTTTGGGGACTGGAGTCAAAAAAGATGGAGGAAGATGAGAGCTCTTGAGAAGGAGATTCAGGGATGAAAGAAACAGTGACTTTAGAAGCTGAAGTGACATACAACACAAGTACTTGTTACCATCCCTGAAAAGCTAAATTATGAATGTATACTTAAAACCACAGTTATTTTTGTAGCCCACAGCTCTGGAATTCTAGGTACAGGGCAAGGTTAAGGTGATGAAAAAGCTCAGGTGCTACCAGATAAAAAGAAAAAAAAATTCAATTCTGCCTTCTGTTTGGGACAAATAAATAAACAAACAAATAACAACTCTGCTTAATCTTTAAGCACATCATCAGAATAAAGAGATGCACTGTGTACCATAGCATCCCAAATTACTAATGGAGTAATAGTCTGTACTTGTTAATTTACAAATTATTGCAATTTATAATTAGACTCTTTAGCATTAGAAAATTTCTGAATTTCTTGATATCTGCTAGATTCTAAAATTCTAAAAGCAATTTGTAGGTTATACTGATTCACACTTTTGTTTACATTAATCTCTATTCCTTATCTGACATAATTTAAGGACTTAAAAAATAACTTCCCTGTGATAAGGCCCCATTGACTTTAGGACAAACTTAGATAGCTGAGAGGCTTTGAGCAAGTATCACTAAATTTCTCTAAACCATAGTCTCCTCATCTGAAAACAAGAATAATCTGCATCTCACAAAAGCACTGTAATGACTAAAACAGGTGACACACACACACACACACACACACACACGCACACACACGGGCGTGGGGGTAGGGTAGGGAGTGCAAAGCGTCTTGCTTGTTCTTGCCATACACTAGGTGGCACGCAAATGTCACCTTCCTTCGCATTTTAGGTATCAGTTATCCAAGGACCAGCATACATCTATGGAACCCTGGGGCAGGTAGAACATGGGTTAAATTCATTCACCAAAAACTTCATTCTTCACCTAAGGTACTAAAGTGGCCCATAGAAGGCAGGAGGCAAAGAAAAAAACAAAACCGATCAAGAAGCCTAATAATCTATGAACTGAGTAATCAGGCCCTCAAAAAATTTGAGTAGGTGAAAAAAAAAATGCCAAAAGACTCATTTCATCAGATTCCAAGGGGGGGATTTACTCATGGAACACTTTTTACAAATCCCGGAAGGTGCTAAATAACACATTCCTCCACGTGTAACTTTACTGGAGCATTTTTTCTGCTTGCGCGGATGTGGGTCTCAGAAATCCTCTATGCTCTGCTTTATATTTAGTATTACTGATGTCTCAGAATGAGACTCATTAAACTAAGTTAATCATGATTTCAGAAGTTGTCTCACTTTATAAGTTAGTTATATTAGTTAAGTTCGACAAGTTCTTGGCCGTGGACTTCAACTGTGTGAGAGGAAAATGGCACCCGTCATCTAGTGTGTTTCTCGCGGGCAGGCCCCACAGGAGGGGACATCGGCGACGTGGCCGTCCTTCCCTAGTGGAGACGCAGCCCCACGCCCTAGGGGAGAGGCCGGCCCTGCCCCGCACTCCTTCAATGGTGGCGTCTTCTGCTTATTAGCCTCACCGCTCACAGGAAGAGTGTGGGCTGCTAATTTCAAGGCTGGTTCCCAAAGGGTTTCTTTATATTCCCCCAGGAAATAGGTTTGACAGCTTTGCCAGGAATGCCAAAGCTCCTCAGGCAGGAATCAGGCAACTGAAGCGTGACTGGCTGAGGTGGAGGCTGTGTGGCAACTCCCAGCAGAGATCTCTGTGGGCTTCCAGCTCCACAGTGCTCATAAGCCGCTTCAGAGAAGTCAGCTGTCTTGGAGATACGGCATGAAATCTGCAGATTCGTCTAAGCTCTTGGATCATAATTTCAAGTTACTAAACTTAGAGAAAACTCAACACTCCTGCTAAACATCTCAGCAAAGGCAAATTCCTAAAAGCTGTTCAAGGGTAGAAACACTGCTTCCTCTTCTTACACCCTTCAAAAGAAATGTCAAAAATGTCAAACAAAAATGTTGAGTAGGTAGACTCAACAACTTACATTTACTGGTTCAACATCACCCTTGATTTAAAATGTTTAATTTTACTTCGTTTTTATACTATTAATCAACTCCCCACCAATGAACCCCTGCAGGGAAAAGCCCGTGTATGCCCTTTACCTGGGCAGTCTCCTCCTCTTGCTTCCTCTTCTCTTCTTCAGTCTCCACCAGCCTCTGCTTGGTCAAAAGGAGCTCCTTATTCAGCACGTCTGCCTTGTCTTCTGCCTGCAAATGAGCGTCATCAGAGTCATAAAAAAGGTGAAGAAATTTCTTCAAACCCAATCTCCAGTTATTCCTCCTCCTCCTGGCTCACCTGGGGGGTGGGGGTGGGGTTGCTGCTTCCACTGAATGCCAGATATGTGCCAGGCACTTGGCACGCATTATTGCTAATCTTCACAATGATAATTTTACAGATAACGGCAGTTAGGCTTGGAAGACCAAATACACAGTCTGGGGTCACACATCTAATATCAGAGTCATGACACGAATTCAAATTTGAATAACATCAAAACCCACGCTCTTTCCAATGCTTCTTATTCATGTTTAGCTGTCGCAACAGCATTCACTCTGTGCACATAGGGCTGGTGAGGGGCTGGGGCCTCACAGAGAACCTTCTAACTAGTGGTGCATGGAGGTGGACTCAGAGAGGAGGAGCGGATGGGCTGATCCCTGGACAGCACTTAGGTGAGAAATTCAAGGGCACGTTGAGGTAAACTGGCCCACAGGCCACTCACATGTCAATGAGTTCAGTAAGGAGAAATTACGCCTCAAACCCTGTTATAGAGAGAGCCATAAGGAAAACTGAAATATGGACCAGGAATCCAGGAAGAAAAGACCATATTTCTAGAATGGCCTAGAAGAACTCAGAGAGAGAGAGCACTCTGGTTCTAACTTGGACACTGAGCCAAAGTTAACTATGAAAGCGCTGTGAGTATATTTCACTTGGCTAATGTTGTGACTTCACTCTCTGAGACTCTTACCTCGTCCTTTAGGCCTCAGCTCCAGGCTCACATCGCAGTGAAGCCTGCCCTGAGCCCTGCTCCACTCTCCCCATCTAAATCACTTCCCCGTCTGAATCTCCCATGTCTCCCTTGGTGGCACTGTACTGACATATTGCATGTGTGATTCATTGTCTTACTCCCTAGACTTTACGCTCCAGGAGGTTCTGAGGAACCACGTCTCTTTTGTTCCTCTCTAGATCCCAGCACCATGCCCAGTGTCTAGTACAGAGCAGGTGTTCGTAAGCATTTGGTTAATGAACGTACGTGGCTTAGTCGCTGTAGAAGCAGACTGAGGAGTGGAGGTAGCAGAGGGCCACGGGATGATCAGCAGAGAAAGCCCACATGCAGAGGAGAGGCACTTATTTGAAGAAGCTATCCCTGGCTGACAGCAGCAAAACTTCATTCAAGTAATGGTGGAAACTGGCCAGGTGGCCTTCTGTCTGTCTTCTGCCATGTCTCCCACATGTCCGGATGGTCAGACCAGCACAGTCTGCGAGCCACTGCAGAGAAGCTGCATTCCAGCTGCTCTGTTCTCACCATCTTCTAGCTCCTGATGGCCCATAGCCCAATGGTTAGAGCCCTGTTTGCAGATCATTTTGAACTACTGGATAGCCAAGGTGAAAAAGCCCCTTAAAAGTCCTTAAGACTCTAAAATTTGTACTGATGCATAAGATTTTAGGGGAGAAAATCTACACAGCAATGTTTTCATAAATGGCAAGGTATAAAATATCTTGCAATTTATGATTTATTAAATATATTATGATGAATTAAATATATTATAGAGCCTCAAACCTTCCAATTGTGGAGCTGCAAGCCAGATGACTGAGACTGCTGTCCACAAAGCAAGGAGACCCTCCCCAGAGTCTCTGACACATGTTCATAGAGTGGCATTTCACGTGCAGCTGGACTGATCATTTCAACATTCTTAAAAAATCTAACCAAATCTATCTCCCTGTAACTGTAGTCCACTGATTTAAGTTCTACCCCAGAATGTCTGAGCTCTGCTAATAAAGAAGACTGCAACTAAACCTCCTCCTACAGTAACCCCAGCAATATCCACTTTGTGAAGAGAATAATCCTTTCATAATATATACCATGACACTCTGAAATAAACACTTTCAAAGTTTGGTCTTTTGAAAACAGAATTATCTAAAATGTTTACCTTTTGTAAACTTTTAAATAGTCAGTGCTATCCTGACCTTCAGTAACAAGCTTCTTGAGTCCTACAGCATATCTAGCTGTTTCACAGTTTTGAAAACCTCTTTGTAAGAAAAGGAGAAAAAACACTTTCCTGAGGATTTTTTTTTTGAGACAGAGTCTCTCTCTGTCGCCTGGGCTAGAATGCCGTGGCGTCAGCCTAGCTCACAGCAACCTCCGACTTCTGGGCTCAAGGGATCCACCTGCCTCAACCTACCAAGTGGCTAGGACTACAGGCATGAGCCACCACGCCTGGTTAATTTTACTATTTTTAGTAGAGATGGGGTCTTGCTCTTGCTTAGGCTGGTCTCAAACTCCTGAGCTCAAGTGATCTTCCTGTCTCGGCTTCCAGAGTGCTCGGATTACAGGTGTGTGCCTAGCCACCCTGAGGAAAATTTTAAAAATACCTAAATATCTATGCTTATGCTGAGAAGACCTATTTTTTTATTTGTACATTTTTTGCTGGACAGTCTTCATTAGGTCAAGATAAGGCAACTCCGCTCATTTTTACTGTCATCATGTGCAACATGTGCAGCAGTTCTGGAGGGTCCTATCTGGGAACCTCTAGCTTTCCTGGAAACTTCATCCAAAGTTTCTCCTGTATGTTAAATTGTGAAGTAGGAGCAATTCTGTTCATCAAAATGGGACCAGATCTGAAATAACTTGAGTCTCCCTCTACAAATGGTTTTCTGGATCTTTCTTTGAACAGCCAAGCACACTATACCTCACTTAGGTAGAAATTATTTTGAATGTTAAATGAACATAACACCAAACAGATGGATATTCAAACTCTATCTTTGAATTCATGTTATAAAACCTTTACCATAATATGCTAAGAAGACTGAGTGGAACATTGTCATTATTAAATCTTCTAATCATTTACCAACATCTTATAATGTCCTATTGATAATGAAAGTTCTAATTGCAATCTAAGGCTCCTATAACCTATATTGAGAGAAATAAGCATTGCAATGTGTGATTTAATCATGAATCAACTGATAACTAGATCAAAAGACTTGGCTGTAACATCAGGAATGACGATCTTTCAGAAATGATTTCTGAAAAACTAGCCAAGCCTGTTGTTCAATTGAAAACAAAACAAAATAATTTGCCACTTATAACATGTAGCTTCTGGTCTAACAGAACTTGCTATGTTTAGAGGAAACCTCAACCTGTGATCTTCGGCGGGAAAGTACTAATTATATCTCCTCCTTTTTGTTTCTTAAGAACAGGGAAGGACAGGAAGGGCCTGAAAACAGGTGTCAACAGAAGTAAAACAGAGTTGTATCTTTTTTCATTTCTAATTCTTGAGAAGTCTTCGCGTAAGGAGTCTGAGAGAGTGAGTTCTCGGGAGAGAAAGCTCTGTCACAGAGAAAATCTAAAGAGCCTTTGGTGCCCAGGAAGCCTGAAGCCTGCACTAAAGTGACAATGCTAAGGAACGATTTCTAAAAGTACCTAATTAGTATTTGTTTACTTATGTATCATCTCAAATAAAATCTGCTTTCATGTTTGCTTAAGATTTGCCAAAATTTTGCTATCTTATTTAAGAGATCTGATTTTGATAAACTGGGAATGGAAAAGTAGTGGGCAAATTGGCAAAGGCAGGCAAAGCCCATACTTCCGCTCTCAGGCCAATGCCTTCCTTGAGGACCAGAGCAGGGGCAGGACACCTAACCTGCAGGGACGGGTCCCTGATAGGCAAATAAACCCCCTGAAGCAGAAACTGCAAAATGAGAAGCTAGGAGGAGATATGCATGAAATAGCAGTTTTTATTCTTTCATCTAGATAATTAGCTCCAAAATGCAGAGTCCAAGTCTTTCTTAGTTTTTTGTTTTTTTTTTAAAGAGAAGGAAAGAGAGATATAGGAGGAGGAAAGAAGGCAGAGAAGGAATGAAGGAATGATGGAATCTTCTTCAGGGACTGATCTAGTACCCACATGAAGTACCTAGGTACTCAATAATCAATTATTACAGGGGTTCCCATAATAGCAGTTATTCCAGGCTGATTCACAAAAAGAATTCTCTTGGTTGTGAAATAATTTTTAAAATAATATTTTTTCTGATAATTAAAGATATGTATATTATTTATTATATTCATATATGTAATATGCATATTATAATCTACTTTTCTGATTATTAAAAGTTATAATGCTCATTTTAAGGCCTTTCTACAAACTGGAAAAAATATATATAAAGATGAATATAGGCCGGGCATGGTGGCTCATGCCTGTAATCCTAGCACCCTGGGAGGCCGAGGTGGGCGGATTGCTCGAGGTCAGGAGTTCGAAATCAGCCTGAGCAAGAGCAAGATCCCGTCTCTGCTATAAATAGAAAAAAATTAATTGGCCAACTAATATATATAGAAAAAATTAGCCGGGCATGGTGGCGCATGCCTGTAGTCCCAGCTACTCGGGAGGCTGAGGCAGGAGGATTGCCTGAGCCCAGGAGTTTGAGGTTCCTGTGAGCTAGGCTGACGTCATGGCACTCACTCTAGCCTGGGCAACAAAGCGAGACTCTGTCTCAAAAAAACCCCACAAACAAACAAACAAAAAAAAACCAAAAAAAAGATGAATATAAAAATTAGATTTAATCTTACTATCCGGACATAGTGACATTTTAATGTATTTCCTTGTGGGCTTTTGCCTTATGTAGGTATAGTCTGGACCATGACCCATTGCCAGCCAACAGCCCTTGCAATTTAGATGCAAACATTATAAATGTTTACTGTTTACAGATAAATTTATAGTTTTTTAAAAATACTATATCATTACCTCCCCATTGTTTTAAAAAGTTATTCCAAAAAGATATTTATAGACATACCATCATTCTCCCCTACTAGTGGACATATACATTATTTCTATTTTTATTCTTATAAGTAACACTGCAGTAAACAACTCTGTATATACATTTTTTTTTACCAAATCTCTATATTTTGGAGATAGCTTTCCAAGTCAAGAGCACATAGAGAGAGTGGGACATCCATCTTCCACCCAGGAAATTTCATACCAATAGCAACCAAAGAGAGGATTAAATGTAGGTGATGTTGAGAAAGGTAGATGATTTTTGTTCAGAAGTATGGCCAGTGCCACAGCTTGGAAAAGGGAGACAAGCACGAGGCTGGGCCAAGTCTCCACGTTCTCTTGGGGAAAAGACAGGTCAGGCTGCGGGATTCCCTTACACAGATACCAACAAGGACAAAGGCATCGCCTGGGGAGGGGGTACACGCACGGAGTATTTGGAGAATCCAAGAATTACATCCCTGGAACAAAAATGATCTTCGCCAGCATAAAGAAAAAGGCAGAAAGAGCAGACTTGACAGGTTATCTCAAAAAAAGCTACTAATGAGTAATGACTGGCCACTGCCTTATTTATTACAAAACAGAACTGTCTCATGGCTTTTTTATGTGTACCATAATGTGATTGATCTCATACACCAGAATTCAGATCATGAATGAGTGACAGAATATTTTTGTTGGACAGTCCTGATTTATAATAACTAAGACTGGCTTGTGGTTAAATGAATATGATCAGTTTTTTGAACTTTGATAGTAATTCTAATATCTTTGTAAATGCTACCACACTATTTTATTTTCTCCCTCTAAAGATACGATTGGACTTGATTAGTAATGTTCAACTTTTCCCAAAGATGGTAAATTGCCATCTCAAAACCTACTGAAGATTGGCTTTATGTTCAGATTTATATAACTGGTTATGTAAATACATTTAAATACTAGGGAAATCCTTTTACTACCTGAGAACCAAGCAGCACTCACGGGTGTTTTAATTTGTGTGCATTAGTCTGTTAAAGGTGAGGGCTGGAGATAAGGTAGCAATGTCTACTTTATATTTTTGGTCTTAACTATGCCATTCTAATTCCCTATATCTATTAATACTAAAATGCTGCCTTTTATTTACTGGAAGGCATTTTAGTGTAGTTTATATGTAATATCAAATAAAGAATATTTAACACTTCTCACAAAAAAGAGTATATATGTGTCAGTTTCCTCATTTATAAAATGAGAGATTAAAATAATACCTGCTTCCTAGAGTCATTAAGGAAATTAAATGAGATAATGCTTATATATTGCTATATTTAATGCTTGGTACAGCCAGCTCCAGGAAACTATTAATGGATAAATGATTCAAAATGGCAGGATTAAGTGCGAGTTTTGGAAAGCTAATATGTAACCAAACTTTCATTGTAGTGCTGACTTACCACAATAGTTGTGTTAACACAAAAACATGGCAGGGGTGGTCAGGCTGAGTCTGGCCCTGCTTGAGTGGGGATCCCTCTATCTTCTTTGGTTCTGACTCTCTTAGGCACATGTTTCTCACACCACTTCTAACAGTCTCCAATTGGGCTGGCTGAGTGGAGTTTGTGGTTAAAAGGGCCACGATTTAAAAATAAAACTAAAATAAAATTATTCATTTTCTTGGCTGTTTTTTCTACCTTCTATATCCTTTGTCCCAAGCAACACAGTTTGGGTTTTTCTCCAAACTCCATTTAGTGCTGACTCCTCTGTTTCCTCCTCTCCCTGTTGGTAATATCTTCCTAAACAATGGTCTTATCTCACATCTTACTGTGGTTAAAAATTTGAGCTGCAAAATTAATTGTTTATATGGGAAAAAGGAGTGTGGCAGGGACCACTTTCTGGCATCCTTCAATTTTAAACATTTAAGCAGATTTCTATTATTAATGGATTTGTATTTTAAGTACTGTCAATGCAGAGTTACACCGCAGGTAATGACTCTTTTTTACAGGCTCAACAGCCCGAGTCTAAATTTTTCTGACCCTGTACCATCTGTCAGGAATATTTACTCTTTAGAAGTCAGAAAATAGAGTGGCAATTTTTAAATCTGCACAAGACTGCTTCCCTACTGCCAATGATCTATGAAAATGCCAGCAACAGAAAACAGGAGGTCCTAAGACTGTCAGCACTGGTGGAAAGAACAAGGGAAGTTAAACATTTAAGGTCTTACTAGCAACAGCTAACATTTATGAACACATACTACTGAAGCGCTTTACTTTATTTAATCCTTATATCATCCCTATGAGGCAGACACGTTTTTCTTCCTATAGACAGGTTGGGAACTGCCCAGAGTCTCATGGTTCACAAGTGGTAGTGCCAGGATTCACACCTAGGCAGTCTGGCTCTTAGCCACTATGATGCCTGCCAATCCAACCTCCCATCCCACTCTTAAGATAAGTGCCTCATATAACACTTCATGTTTATTACAGACAAGAATTCTTACTGGAACAAAAAGCAAGGTGCCCACTAATGTTAGAGTGGAATTAGTACTGGTGTACTCTCGGTGACTGATATTCTCAAGTAATTATGCTGGTAGCCCTTGGTTTAGGAAAAGCACTGACAAATCAAGTGTCACTTGCTATGTGAGAAGGACCCAAGCCGCTCTCAAAGACTTGCATTTCCCGCTGTCTCCAATCAGCCTAAGCAACCCCCTCCCACCTGCCACCTGCCCATTTATCAGTCGAGCAAGCCTGGGGGCCCATGGTGGGAGCACTGGGTCTTTGCCCTTGAGGAAGTCTGTCTCAGTCTTATTCCTGCCTAGTGAAAGACAGCTTTACCTGATCCAGGTCATTCCGTAGAGCAATTTTGCTGGTTACTAGTTCATGGGCGAGGTCATCGTTCTCTTGTTCCAGCCTCATGCTGGCCTCCTGTAATCTTCGGTTCTCCCTCTGCAAAAAAAGAGCAACAGCCAGAGGTGGGCATTAATGCCTGGACAAACCAGCAGAAACTGACGGAACTGGTGAGGAAAAACAAGCAACAACAAAGTGAACTTTCAAAGGTATAAAAGGAGAAGGCGCAGTGGCACAGCAAGGCAGGACTGCTGTCTGGGAAACAACAGTGAGTTGAGCGAGCGGTGCAGATGCAGTACTCTACCCTGCGAAACTCACAGCTGTCCCTTAAAGCTCCAGATGGAACGTCATTGTAAAAAATGTGCCGCAGAGAGCAAAATTTTCAAACATACCCCCAATCCTGTTAGGTTTTTATATAGACCTAGAACACAGACACAAGCAACTCTTTGTTTGAAACATGCATAGCAGTCCCACCCTTGACCTCAAGAGAAATCACAAGACACAGTAGGAATGGAATGGGGAAAAACTATTAGACATTTCAAGATCAAGGTTCAAATTAATTGAGTATATTATATTTAAGAGTACTAAATTAAAAATCAAGATACATGGGTTTGTGACTTTGCTATCAACTGACATTTTTATTCTTTGCCTTCCTGCACACCTATTTTTGTGTTAGTGAGAGCAAGAGTCCTTATGATAAGGTCTCTAAATATTTGTTTTGGTTTTTTAAAACTTCAGATTAGAACATTCTGAATAGAATAAATTACTGAGCTATTTTTCCCCCATTGAACTCCCTTGCAAAAATCTGAAACAATGTTACATAATTGAAGTACCAAGTCATTAATCCTTATGAAGCAAGGTCTCCCCTTAACTAGCCATGATGAACTTGGTATGTTCACATCTATTTTTAGAATAACAATTTTGTGTCTTCCATTCCCAAATATCAAAAGCTCTTTCTTTGCTACTGTTAGCAGTTACAGGAGATTCAAAAGAGAGCTGACAGGAAAGGCTTCAATGTGATGAGACCTTCCTGTTTTCGGATTTACGCTCCTAACAGTCTTTTCTGCAAGGGTGGCAAAAACTCAGACAAAGCAGTGACACAAAACCAGAAGACAAATACATGTTTTGGGAGATAGTGTATCATAGCATACTTGGGAAGGTGAGGTTAATTTCATCTTCTATAGAATAAGCTGGTGTTATATACAAAGAAGAGAACCTAATCTCTTTCCTTCTTTTTTTTTTTTTTAAATAAAGGCTAAGAAGCGGATGGTAAGGGAGAAGTCTGAGACTTTCCTGGAGGCAGAGGATCCATAAACAGGGAAGCCCATTAGAATCGCTGAAGGATGAACCTGCACTTTGATTACAACCAGCTACCAGGGCCCACTTCTGTCTTTTCTTTTGGAAAGAATAGATTGGGATAGTTGAGGAATGTCAAAACAGTCTTGAAAAAGATATCTGCTAGAAAAGATTAAAAACAAACTTAAATACTTTTAAATAAATTCATGATAGAATTTCACTCAGTGCTAAAATATTAGATAAAAATATCTAACAACAGAGGAAATACTTATATCATCTTGAAGAAAAAAATAACTGGAAAATCCCATTTTTGTAACAATATAAACAACAGATATTAACTGTGGTTAGTAGATTATTTTTGTTGTCCTTATCCTTTTAAAAATGTTTTCAAGTTTTCTACAGTGAACATGTATTTATAATAGTTTTTTAATGGTTTTTTTTTTAAGTAATTTGAAATTTCAATTCCGCTGGAAGGATAAAATGCCAAAATAAGAAAATTTTTAAAGCCCACTCCTGTTAGAAGGTCATATTCTACATGAAACCATACAGTCTTTTCCTTTGTGACCAAGATATAATGTACTCCCTGAGTGCTGCCTTGCCAGGAACCTTTTCCTCGGATATTCCTGGAAAGGTAGTTCCTACTTGTAGGGCAACTTGTACTCATCAAATTCTGTCTGTTCCCTCAGTCACAGAAGTTCTACTCTCCCACAGAAGTGCAATAAATGTGGAGGCTAAAAAATATATTTTTAAAAAGCATGGACACTTCTGCAGTTGAAATAACACAATTTCTAGCATGTGCTAGAGAGTTAGTCTTTATTTCTGATACAACTATTACTCCCGTTTGTGGAAACAACTTAAATACTTGTAGAAAACTTAGATTTTAAAAAAATGAGAAACTTTTTCAATAAATTTCCTCCTAGCCAGGAAAGAGCAACAATACCCAGCACAATTTCAACACACCGTATTTCACAACACAGACTACTTAGGCAGGGGAGAGATTTTTCTCATTTCTTGATAAACCCCTTTAAGAGACTAAGATAAGACTACTTCACTACCTATTCCTGAGTTAAGTATCCTGTTTCTACTCAAATTGTACTTGTAGAACTCTGAAGTACAAAAAGTTCCCTCAACTATTATTTACATTACATTAATTTGGCACAAGTGAAAAAGCTGTAGCTACCAGTTTTTCAGGTTATAGTTATATGCTTAGAATTGCATTTAAAAAAAACCCTCCAGGTAAAGTCATAGGATGTTTGTGGAAAAGTACTTTGTTCAAGTATTTTAAAAATACCAGGTAGCTACTTCACTATTGATTAGAGATGAAAGTCTGATGGATCATATGATATGTAAGAAAGAAGTGGAGCTCAGCTGAAATTCTGACTGGTAACTTCTCATTACAATAACTAGCGACTTGAACCCTCCTTGTACACACACATCTAAAGGAGCAGCAGTAGGGGCAGGCTGGGGAAAGATCTGGGAGACATGAGTGTCTGAGGGTCCCTACAAAGCAAAATGGCCTACAGGGCACACCGACTGGCTTCTGCTTTAGCAAGCAGCTTTCAACTCAGTGTCTGCAAAGCAAGCAGCACAGCGGGCAGTGTCGGACTGCTGCTCCGCACTCACAGACAAGTGGGGAAGCAAGCTACGGCCAAAAATGCAGTATCGTCCTCCAAAGTATGAAGCTGGCGTGGCGGCAGGGTGTCCTCCCAAGTTCTCCAGGGCCACTGAGTGCCACGCTGACACATTGCTACTGAGATGGAGATTTTCGACAGAGAAGAACTTGCCCACACTTACACTGAGGGTTAAACACATTACATTACTTTAGCTGTCTTTTCCAGCCCTTCCCAAGGAGCCAAAGCTATTTTCAGTCTCGACTAGCCAAGAAAAAGTTTGCCCTTACACTAGAATGGAGAAGAGAGTTTAGTTGTTGACAGACTTGGGAAAGGCAGTAACCTGGCTTGATTCATTCTGAAATGTTGACAAGGGCTGCCCACGGGAGGCTGACTTAAAGTCAGCCCCGATAACCTCCGTCAGCCCAGAGACATTCACATGCTGTGGTTTGTACAAGCAGATGTGCAGAGCGCTCAGAGCCTGTGAACAAGACAGGCAAATTGCTTCCCTCTTGCCTTTCAGCAAAGATCACAGGAGATACTGCTTACATAACCCTTAAAACTCACATTGCACTGTCTGAAACACACTCCATCTCACACAACTGACACCACTTGAACAAAAAGCAGACAACTGTCCTAATTAGTTCCCTCCCCTCGTGCACAGAGGATGTACAGCCAGAAAGTTTGGTTAGTAACTTTTGGGAGGAGGATACTGCATTTTTCAAAGAGACAGACGCTTGTGTTACAGACACACATAGATGAAAAACTTACCTCCTCAAAAGTCATAGACCAACTACTGTTTTCAATCATAGGTACAAAGACAATTGAAAAAAAAAAAAGAATATCCAATGAAATCGAACACCTACGAATACAACTATGAAATGGCAATAACAAAAACAGACACTTGTTAATGCTCTGTGCCTTTTCCTTAGAGTGTCAATACTCTAAGTTCTCTCTGTGACTGCAAACATTCAGTAGTAGAAAGTAACTCAGGAAGACTCATACACTAAAACTCCTCCCTCGCCACACTGCTATTTGCAGTTTGCATGAATGATGCAAATGCTGCATGTGGAACTACTAGCAACTACAGTGTGAGTTGTTGATACTATGTTATTAAAGCTGGGAGGAAGGAACTTCCTTATAAGACAAAGTCAGAAACCTTGCAAAATAGTTCATCTTCCGACAAAAGAATGAAATTGCTGGGCAGAGGAATGCAAAAACAAAAAAAAACTTATCCCAGATCTCATTTGTATCTTGGCTCTGAAGTCTGGGTGAAGCAGTTCAAGGGATGGTGAACGTCATTTATTCCAAGATGACAAACCAGACAGATGTGAACTGGCGATCAAAAGAAAATAAACTAAGCTTTAAAGGAAAAAATGATGAGAGGGAGTTGGTTTTATAAACCCTAGTTCAATATTTTGGGTGTGGTGTATGCTGCTATGATGAATTCTTGGCATATGTTTTTAAAGACATTTAAGGGTCACTAGAAAATGTTTTTCTAAAACATTTTCCAGTGCAATTTGATTAGTAACAACACACTCAGCTCTCACATACTTTCTTTTTGATACTTCTTTTAAAAGAGTTGATAATCACCATATTCAAATTTTTAGCTGGCAGGTTTTTGACATACAAAGACAAATGCCTACAGATGAAATGTTTAAATGACTATATAGTCCATAAATGAAGATTTCAGAAAGAAAATCTGGATATTTGAAACTGTTTTATACTTCTCTTCTTTACCTTTCACATCCAATCTTATCTTTCTGGTGGAACTTTAAAAAATTTTAAATGTCAGACTAAAAACAAAATCTTGTCAGTAATAAATGACAGTTGACAAACCATACTGAATTTCTTTTAGCATTTAAAAAACAATCTTAGATTATAATGTAGCACAGGGGTCAGCAAACTTTTAACATAAATAGCCAGTAGTAAATATATTAGGTCTCATGGTCTGTGTTGAAATTTCTCAACTATGCCAGCATCATGCAAAAGCAGCCACATACAGTAAGTAAACAAATAGGTATGGCTATGTTCCAATAAAACTTTATTTACAAAACTTGGCAGCGAGCCAGATTTAGCCCACAGGCCATGGTTTGCAGATCCCTATTCTATTCTAGTACACAAATCAATTTTTTTTTTTTTTGAGACAGAGTCTCACTTTGTTGCCCAGGCTAGAGTGAGTGCGGTGGCGTC